ATGGAATCAGGAAGAGTCTGAAACAACTGAACAACAACAGCATGGGATAGTATAGTAGTAAGACTTTGAAATTTGGAATGAGGAGAAGATTGGGTTCAGATACCACCTCCTGTCCTTACTAGCTGTATAATCCCAGCCATTTAAGCTTTCTGAGGCTTTTAATCTGTAAAATGGAGATAATCATTCCTGTAGCACTTACCTTGCAATGTCTTTTGTGAGGATCAAATGAGATCATATACATATATATATATGTATATATATATTACTTATTATTCATTAGAAAGTCAGGTCTCTGGTGGTAAATTCTTTTAGAAGCTGGAAAGGATTTAAGATTGTTTTCCTTTGAATTTTGTGTGGTACTTTGAAATGCTTAATATAGGATTTGGAAATAGCCAACAAGTGTTCTGCAGCTCTCTCTATAAGATCCAAAGTGATCACAGACCGATTTTATTTTATGAGAAACCATTTAGTAAAAAACAAAATAGTACGGTTCAAAGTAATAAAGGCTAATTAAAAAAGAAAGCCAATAAAGGTAACAAATAGTATGGCTCAAGGTAATAAAAGTTCTTTTGACAAACAACTTCAAGCACTTACGCTTCAAAGCTCCTTTGAAATTATGGGCCTTCATAATGCCCTCATACAGTGTCACCCCTTCTTCTTCCCCTTTGAGCTTCTTTTTATGTGTCTCCCCCTATTAGATTGTGAGCTCCTTGAGGGCAGGGACTTTCTTTTGCCTTTCTTAGTATCCCCTGTGCTTTGCATAGTGCCTGGCACATAGTAGTTTATTGAGTCTGACTCTCTGAGTCTACCATAATTAATAATGAAAAAAGTCTGTTTTAGGGGATAGAGTACTGGCCATGGAATCTGGAAGACCTGACTTCAAATTCTGCTTCAGACATACCCTAGACCATGGCAAGTCAACTCTCTAATATTTTATGTTATTGATGACTTATATTTTTGCAGTATTAGAAGGAATTCCTCATAATGATTAAATCATCCCTAACCCCAAAATAGTTGATGATAAAGCATTAGGGAGATGACCATGAAAGTAGAAGTACATTGTTTGCTAAATTAGCATAGAGCTGGGATTGGATATAGCTAGAGAAGTATCAAAGAGTGGGCAAGTAGTTCAATATGCCTGGGATGGTGATGTCCTTCCACCATATTCCAACAAGTACCTTAGAATCCTTAAAGCATTCCTGAATTAGAGATAATTCAAAGAGTAGTTGGTGTCAAAGCAAGAGAGAATTTGTTCAGTCATATTTTAGTTGTGTACAACTCTTCATGACCCCATTTGGATTAAACGCTATTTAACAATCCATCCAAAGAAAGCTGAAAGAGAATAAAAATGTTGGAGGAAGAAAACTATTTAAAAGGCTAAAGGAAAGACTACTTGAATATCGTAAGGAGAATTTATAATGGTGAGGTTTACTGCACTCTGATACATTCATTAAAGAACAATAATGGAAGTGAAATAATAGAGTTTAGAGCTAGAAGGAATCAGAAGCCATCATGTGGTCTCACCTTCTGTCCCCAGCAGGTGAAAACATATTATCTTAGGAATATATTTAGAGCTGGAAAATCTAGTTTAACCCCTTTCAGCACCCCCTCTCCCAACCATGGCCCCCAGACCAAACTATATCATAACAAAATTGTAAACAGATATGAACAGTGATAGGCAAAGACTTCATACTATTTTTTGTCAATGATATTCTCAGTTCCAAATCCATGCTAGACCATCATACAATAACTTCATTCCTAAACCTAGGTTAGATTAGATGAGATCAGAAATTATATAATTACTATAGAAGGAAAGCCAAGGAACCTGGAGCAACTGAAAATCTACTCTTCACGTAAACTCCAAACATGCTACCTAATAAACAAATAGCAAAAATAATTCCAGTGCCTCAAATCATTTTGAGAAAGAGATCAACTTATTTAGACTGGAATTTTCAAAAAGCCTTTTTGAGTGTGATGGCATTAATCCAATTAATAGATCAAAAGAGTTATTCAAAAAAGATAGTATCTCTTGTAACTATCACAAATGAATGTAATCTCCAGAAAGAGTTGACAGAGAGTGTAAAAACATTTCATAACTTGCACACAACAGTATATATTTCACCATTCTGCAATAGATACATGATTGGAGCAGCTAGGTGGATAGAGCTCTGGCCCCGAAGTCAGGAGGACCAGAGTTCAAATCTGGCCTCATTCACATAACACTCACTACCTGTAGGAGTCTGGGCAAGTCACTTGACCCCATCTGCCGCACCAAAAAAAAAAAAGATACACGATCAATGGATACAAACAAGCAGTTTTCAAATGAAAAAATCCAAACTATCAACAAATATATGAAAAGATGCTCCAAATCACTAATAACTAGAGAAATGCAAATTAAAACAACTCTGAAGTGCTACCTCATACTTATAAGATTGGCAAAGAAAAAGAAAAGTAACAATTATTAGAGGAGCTGTGCGAAAATAGGCACATGGACTAATACATTGTTAGTGGAGCTATGAATTTCTTCAACTATCCTGGAAAACAGTTTGGAACTATTACCCAAAAGTCACCAAACTATGCATACCTTTTGAACCAGCAATCCTACTACTAGTCTTATACTCAAAGGGATCAAAGAAAGAGGCAACGTTGCCTATATGTACAAAATATTAGTAGGAGTTCTTTTTTTAGTTGCAAAAAACCAGAAACCAAAAGAGTGCCCATCTAGTAGGGAATGACTAAATAATTTATGGTATGTAAATGTTGTAGAATATTATTGAGACATGAGAAATGAGAAATAATGAAATGGACAGTTTCAGAGAAACTTGGGAAGCCTTGTAAATGAAACAAATAGAACCAGGAGAATAATTTTTATAATAACAACTACTTTGTAAAATTAATTACTTTGAAAGGTTTTAGAACTCTAATGCAATGACCAAGTATAGTTCCAAAAGAATGATGATCAAACATGCTACCCACTTCTGATGACAGAAGTGATGGGCTCAAATTGCAGAATGAGACATACATATTCAGACACAGCCAGTGTGAGAATATGTTTTGCTTGACTGTGCATGTTTGTTATAGAGGACCTTGTTTCTCTTCTTTTTTTTCAGATAGAGGGATGGGGAGAAGTGGGAGAATAGATAAATAAGATGGTAAAAAATAAATCCTAGAAAGAAAAAGAGAAAGAAAATGAATAAGATGGGGGAAAATGGGGGAATAGATAAATAAGGTAGCAAAAAAATAAATCCTAGAAAGAAAAAGAGAAAGAAAAGAGAAGAAAAAAAGGAAAAGTAAAGAAAAGAAGGTCATTATGTTATCTTTTTTAATGCAAAGAAGAAAACAGAGGAAAGGTCAGAAAGCATCTCAGATATGCAAGACAGTTTTGAAGGCTAAAGGTTGAATTTATTATTTTTTAAAAAGCAAGTTAGATATAATAGAGATCTGCAGTTTCACCTATAATCCTTTTTTTATGGTTTACTGTGTATATGGAAACGACAATTTTCTTTAATGTTAAGTTCAGAATAAAAATAAATAAAATTTTAAAAATGAATTTTCTTACAATTTGGTTCTTTTTTTAAGCATATGCATTACCAAGGTAGGGATCATAGGAGAAAAAGCCAGAGGTACATAGGAATATTCCTAAAGACGTATGTCAGAAATAGTCTCTGATGTTTGTCTTTAGGAATATTCCTATGTAGCTCTTAATAAAACTATTGAAGATATAGGAAGATGACATCAATATCTAGCTGGTATCTTTAGTTGAAAACTTGACACCATATATTGCCTAATTAAAGGGAAACAAAAAAAGAAATGTGTAGAATCAAATCTAGAAAACAAAAGTAAATCAGAAATTCTTGATCCCTTTAATCATTGACTGTTAAAAGAAATAACAAAATCAATCAGCTGCAAAATCCTGCACCAATTGTGAGAAACTGAGAAATTAGGAGAAAAAAAAATTGAAATTCAAATTTTAATAATATTCTCATTATAGCTACAATGACCAGAATTTATAGTCTCCATATGCCATTTAGAATATGTTTGCCTTTTTTTTAAATGCTTCATAGCTGTGAAATAATGGATTTGAACTATGCTCATTTTTTCCCCATGAGATTTCTGTTTTCTAAAGAATTGCTAAAAAGCCCAGTATATGCGAAGTATCAAGGCTCACTAGTTTTTGCTATGGTTCACTTGTTTAAAGCATATTTGCAGATGTTTCCCTCCCCCACTCATTTTGAACTGATTCCAACCTTGAGTACCAAATATTACAGCCTTGATGAGTCAATAGTAGTTCAGGATGTACACAGGGTTAAATTTCCACTTAAAGTACTAAATTGAGAACCTGAAACAATTTCCTAAAATAATTTTGTATAACAAAAGCCCATGTAGATGGTATTTTATAATTTTTAATATGTTGATAACACTGAAAGAAAACAATTTAATAATAAAATGAATGAATGCTTAAATTTCAAATATGTAGTTTTATGTATTAGTGAAATACTTATATTTTCTCATACATAGTTTGTTTACATATACCTACATGTTTACATATGTGTACAACTTATTTGAAAGTCAAGAGCTTGTATCCTGAGTTAGTGAAATGGATGTAGTATGCTGCAAAGGTAGAGAAAGTAGATAAGAGTCCTTCTCTTCATTATTAATGTTTCTGTCCCACCTAAAATAGCTTTTCATTCTAGTATTACTGGCCCAAAAATGTGAAGACAGTTTTAAGTAGTATTGGAATGACATTTATTCATGATTGGGGTTTCCCTCTCATTTTATGAATGCCATTCCATTTTTATGTTTTAATCATTCTTTGATGTAATATGAATATGTGTAATATCATTTAGGGTATCTTTAAAAAATAAAATAAAATCTTAAGCTAAATAGGTTTGTTGCAAATTGGACCTGTTCCATTAATCTCTAAAACACAGGATCATATTTTTAAATGACATTAAAGTGAATCCATAACTCTTTAAGGACTAAGATTTTTTTTTCTTAAGATCATAGATCCAGAGCTGGATAGGATACAATCCAACCCCGACATTTTTACAGGTGAGGAAACTGAGACCCGGGAAATTGAAGTGATACCCATGGTTATACTTCTAATGCAAGCTAGTAAGCATCAGAAGCACAATTTGTGCTCAAGTCCTCTGACTCCAGAACCAGTGTTCTTTCCACCGTATCCTTTGGTCCCTGGTAAATGACTGCAAATACAAAGATACAGGAGGGAAGTGGTGATTCTCCCCACTCCCACCCCCAGCTTACATGCTGTAGTTAATTGTCTTCTAAGATTCATTTTGAGATGATAGAGAATAGATATTAAGTGTCAAATCCCACAAACCCCAATTTTAAACAGTCTGTTCTAAGAAAGAGACAAATGAAATTAGGGTACGTGTCCATGGTTTAATTTCCCTCAAGCTGGCTTGACATACATAGCAAGGGAGTTCAGTCCAAAACTAGGCCTCCCCTAAGGAGGCCAGTTCAGAACTGGCTCAATTTGGGGGTTGGGGGTACAGGGTTATATGCCCTTAGGAAGAGTAGGTGTTCTCAAAGGGTACCAATCAACAGTGATTGGTAGGCATACTGTGAGGTGGGTTATATTAAAATAAGGCTCTTTGAGTAAGTGACCCAGGTCACTGAATCCTGGTCAAAGAGACATCAATTTCCATATCACCTGTCTTGACAATAAGGAGGAATCAACATTCTCCCAGACCTGTCAGGGCAACATAGTGAGAATAATAGAATAATGGGAATAGACCCATTTAAATTAGATCTTAATGTCATTCTGAAGGACTGAACTTTAAAAGAAAGGGGTATGGAGAAGCTCTGAGTCTCTAAAATAATGATTACTAAGAAAAATCATTTTTCACTTAAGAAATCAACAAATTATCTGATTTTAAAGCTACTATGAGAAATCTTGAGTTTTTTTTAACATATACAAGTATGCTTGGATAAGTATATCCTAACGCTATTAAGTTATTTGATTTAATAATAACAACAATAATAGCTTATATTTAAATAACACTTTAAGATTTGCAAAACACTGCACCTATGTTATCTCATTTGACCCTCACAACAATCCTGTGAGGTTGGTGCTATTATTATACCCATTTTACAGATGAGGAAACTGAGGCTGAAATCATAAGGCCAATAAGATTTTGAGGGAGGATTTTAATTTAGGTCTTCCTGACTCCAACTCCAATACTCTTACTTCCACATCTAGATGCCTTAACTTTAATTTATTACTTATATTTTTAAGACATGTTACTATGATCAGTTCATTGAGTTAATGTTTAAAAAAAACTTCTGGACAGATTTGAACCTTACTTTATAAACAGAAAGTTGAGCCTTGAATTTTTACTTTTGGAAGTACTATGTAGTAATCAATTTTCATAACAAAGCATTATAAAAAATGCTCAATTAGCAATCTTATAAATTAAAAAGTCTTTCATGTCCTTTTCTCTTTACTACAAAAAACAAAATCCAAAAACTGAATCCTAAAACCAAATATCTAAGTATCTTGATCCTGTTTGCTGCTTGTGAGATTTTTTTTAGAGAAAGCACCTAAAGGATAATTAATGTTTCTGAACTCCTGAGACTCTTAACAAGTATATAAAGAGGTGCTTGTGGTTGGTGTAGTGTTATCTAACAGACCCACTCCTACCGTGAGGGCTGGGAGAGCTGTTCTTAAAAGCTCTCCCAGTGAAGGTTGCAAGCTAATTTCTCCTCAAAAGATATTGAAGCTGTCTTTGAAATTTGATTGGCTCAAGAAATCCTTCTTTCCTTAAGCCAAAGTCCATGCTATCTCCTCCAATGGAACCATCTCTTATTCTTTCCAGCCGAAAGTGACTTATCTCTCCTCAGTTTTCTTGGAAGACTTTATCTGGTTTGCTTTTTTAAAATGTATGCTTTATCTTCCCCATTGACCCAATTAAATTATAAACTCCTAAAAGGTGGGAACTACCAAGACTTTATCTTGGTATCCACAGTGCCTAGCATGGTATTTTGCACATAGTTGGCCCTTACTAAATAACTGTAAGTTTGTTTAATTGAATCTATAAAATGAAGGGATTAGATTAGACTAAAGTACCTTTAGGTCCCTTTTAGTGTGATAATTCCATGATCCTATGATCACTGCTCAATATAGCATTAAAGCGAGAGTAGGTTTTCTTATATGAAGGGGGAAAAGAATATTGTTTGTAATCTGTAAAAAAAAAATGTACTTGCCTCATAAATTTGAAAATAAAATGAGCAGACTAAGTAAACGATTTGACCATTGTGATGTCTCTGATGTGTTCCCAGATACCTTTATCCTATTAGGTCAAAAACCTATATATTACATTAAATCTCAGAACTGGCATCTGGTTTTTAAAGCTTGTGATAGTCAAACAAACATTTTCTGAATTTCTATACCAGAAACTTTTTCAGGAATCCCATATTCTGGAAATTCCCAGAGTGTCATCTTTGGACCTTTGTTTGTATTTTCAGGTACCTCAATCAGGAAGCCAGCAAGAAGAAAGTTAGAGATCACCATGTCTGTAATTGCAGCTTTCTATGGCAGCAAGTCAATACTCATCACTGGAGCCACAGGCTTCATGGGCAAAGTGCTGGTGGAAAAATTACTTCGTACCAGCCCAGATTTGAAAGTTATTTATATCCTTGTGAGGCCCAAATCTGGGCAATCTCTGCAACAGAGGGTATCCCAGATGATGAACTGTAAGGTAGGTTCCCAAATCATTTGGATCATTTTGCCTCTCTGGACTTTAGTTTCCCCAAATATAAAACATAACATAAAATGACAGGATTAGACTACATCATCTCTAAATTCATTTCCAACTCTAGAATCCATTATTCCAAGAGTAACTGGCTATGCTGCCATCTCAAATCCTTGAACTGAAATAGAAGTCAGTAATTTTTAGTGGGGCTGATGGGAAAGACAAGACAGCAACTTGGCGATTCTAACTGAAGAAATCTGTGTGACTAGCTCAAAAAAGCTAAAAGAGAAGTAAGTAATTGATAAATACAATCTATGCTATAGAAACTGCCATACTTTGGTCTATGGAAATTATTATCTTATACTTTTCACAGAGAATTGGTATTAGTCTATTAGTCACACAAGCCATTCTAGATCTTCCCCACGTAAGTTTTAAGAATTTTTTAAGCCTTAGAATTCATTTATTCTTGACTACTTTATATTCAGTTCTGCAAACATTTATTAAGCATCTGCTACAAGCAAGGTACTGTACTAGGTACTAGTAATATAAAGACAAACAAGAGTCTCAGCCCTCAGAGGCAAAATAAAATGTATACAAATAAATAGGTAGAATGTATAAATAAAGTCATAAGTAGAAGGGTCTGAATTGTGGAATTGAAATAATCACTGAGTGTACACATATTAACTTTTCCAAGAAAGTAAGTTCCTAGAAATTTGGACATATATTTTACATAGGAAAACTTGATATTTAGTATTATAGAAAGGTATTTCTGCTGCATCATTCATTTCTGTGAAGACCTGAGGGTCCCAGTAATTTAAAAAGAGGGAAGTAGAATTTTTAAGACGCTAGGAAATTGTACTGCTCAAAGCATTCTTATAATGGCCTGAAGGTACACAGGAAAGTGGAGACCTGAGATTGGAATGCTTGCGTATAAGATTGGCTGCCTTCCTTTTTGCCATGTGAGTGATTGCATTGGTCTGCAGCTGCTGTGACAGCCTAGTTTGCTGACTAAAAATCAGACTTACAGGTTACTCTGAGTGTGTGTGTGTGTGTGTGTGTGTGTGTGTGTGTGTGTGTTTGAGAATCAGACTTCCAAGTTACTGTGTTTAGAGGGATTGCAGGGAGTGCAGAGGGAGCAAGGAAGGAGACAGCATGCTACCACTGGACAAAGAATAAAAGATTCTGGGTCCTTTTTGTAAATTATCTCATGCACAAGAAAAAAATGAGGTGGTTACTAGGGAGGTAGCTTAAGGAGATTGCCATCTGGTGGCCACCTATGGATATTATATTCCCTTGCCACATAATTATACAGTGGCATGCCTGTCACTGTCAAGGTCAAGAAAAACAGCACACAAGTGAGTGAACTGTAATCACTTCTTCAGTGCCCAAAGTATCACATATGGGGCAAAAAGGTGACATTATCTTATAAGCACTTCTGAGATTAAAACATTTTTATTTGGGTGGAAAGTAAAATGTCGTTATGACTGTTTCTTGGCAGTTGTATTAATGGTGTAGTTTCTACATTACCAAATCTGCATTACCATGCAAAGCAGAAACCTGGCATAGAGATAGAGTGATTGACTTGGTCAGAAAAACCTGAGCTCAAAAAAATGCTACCATACACATCCTTCCTTGAAGACTTATCTACTAAGTTATAAATAGGAAGCAATTTACTAATGAAGAAAGTTTCCACATTAACAAAAAGTGATAAATAATTGTGTTCCCTAGTAGAATATACTATGCTGGAGTTGTCAAAATTCTTTGGACATTAAGGGATGAATTCACAAGATATCTAGAAGAGAGAAAGACAATGGGGCAGCTAGGTGGCATAGTGGATAGAACACTAGCCCTAAAATCAGGAGGACTTGAGTTCAAATATGGCCCCTGATATTTACTAGCTGTGTGACCCTGGGCAAGTCATTTAACCCTGATTGCCTTGCCGAGAGAGAGAGAGAGACAGAGAAAGAGACAGAGAGAGAGACTTAAGTAGTGGGGGAAAGAGGGAAATATTTCAGATCTTATAATAACTTTTAAAATGGTAATCAATAGAACATCTACAATTAAAATTTTATATGCCTACTTTCCCATCTATAAAAAATGCCCAGACATTACAGATATTAACAGTCAGTCTTTCACAATCCATATTCTGTAGTAGACTATGTCTTTGCTATCAAAGTTTATTGAGATGTATAAAATACATTTTTTCACTGTATTTATTGCTTGTTTCTTATGGAAAAAATTTTGATTTGATAAAGCATAATACCATCTTAAAGGCAATCTTTCAACAAAGTGATTCTCATCCATTCAAAATTCCTTGAAATATCTAACAATAGAGATAACCTCATTCAGTGACTCTGTGATCATAAACATGAGGTCAAGCAGAAAGTAGAGAAATGTATGCTTGCCAGAAGTTTTTGCTATTGTTGTAGAGGAGATCCAACACAGAACTAAAGTCAAAGAGCTGTTTGAATGATAAGATCCTCCAGTTACTTCTGTTTATGGATAACATTGTGTTTTCAAGCCTTGGAACATTGTAGAGCCTACTGGAAGTGACTCATAATGACCCAAAAGAATTTCGCCTGACTATCCACAAAGGGAAGACTGAGTGTATAAAAATGTCTGTTGCCTACCTACAGAGATTGTTCATGTGAGGAGATTTGGGGTTAGGTACCAAGAAGGAACATAGTCCTCAAAGATCACAAGTAAGGCAGTTTATTATTCACAGACATGCAGGCATGTAGTCTCACAGGAAAGCCCAGTGGCTCCAGCATTCAGTGGGGTGCATAGCACAATCTAGAGCCTGAATTCTAGATCTCTGTCTTTATATCTGATTGCTGTCGCTGGGCAGATTCACAGTACTGAGTGGGAAGAGGGATCTTAGGGACAGTCAATCAGCAAGCTGCTATACTGTAACTCCTCCCTAAACACTGTGATTAGCAAAGTTTGATAAACTGATTATGACCAGGAGAACCTTGTAGACCTTGCCTAAATGAAGCTAGCTTAAACCAACTATTTGGTACTGTGGGCCAGAAAATTCCATTCTGTAATAGAAGTCACTGGTAGCTCCAAGCATGATTAATCAATTTATTGGGAAGTCCCGGGGTCCCTAATTAATTGGGTCCAAGATGTTCCTCCCGATTAGAGGCCCCTCCCTTTGGGTGCAAGCTAGTTGGGTGCAATTTCATGATTGGTTAACACCAGAAAAGAGGAACACTTTATGACTGGTTGAGGGGCATGTCCATCAATCATAACCACTTTGCCATCAGGCTTTTAAATTTCTAACTGCAGGTTTTTCTCAGTAAAGGTATTCTACCTGCTACCTCAGTAGAGGTTTTGATAAGAAATCAAATATCTGGTGTTTTGGTCAGCAGTATTCTAGGAAATGAGGAAGTGGTGGGAGAAAGTAAAGATCACAATGGAACAATGACAGACATTCAAAGGGATGAGGGGTGTTGATGCTGCAATAACAAGCTCCAGGATTAATGTAATGTAATACTATATAACAGACAATCGTATGTTCCTATAACCTACAATTATATCACTAATACACAATATCAGTATCACTAATACATAAGAAGTTATTTGGTCCTAACATATATAACTCTTATCCTAACAGCATTAACATTACATAACTAACTTAACCTTAATTCTATTCTGTTTAATTCACTAATACAGTCACCATCAAATCGCCATGAATTAAGTAAACACTGATTAAATTGAGTAGAGTTATCAAAATTTTCTTCACAGGACATAGGAATTTCCTAGTACATGGGTGATCAATCAAACATGAGTCACTTCTGTCAGTTTGCTGTTGTTCAGTTATTTTTTTAGTCATGTCCAATTCTTCCAACCCTATTTGGGGTTTTCTTGGCAAAGATACTAAAGTAGTTAGCCATTTTCTTCTCCAACTCATTTCACTGATGAGGAAACTGAGGCAAACAGGGTTAAGTGACTTGCCCTGGTCACACAAGGGGTAAGTGTCTGGGACCAGATTTTAACTCAGGAAAATGAGTCTTCCTGACTCCAGGCCCAGCACTCTATCCACTATGCCACCTAGCTGCCCTAGAGCCTAGCAAAAGGCCAATCCTCCCAGTAAATAAGTATGTATATCTGGGACAGACAATACAGATAGATGAGTTATACCCAGAACTAATCAGGAAGATAATAAGATAAATTGCCTTTGAGAAATTATGAAATCTCTTTAATAATCTCTAGCTTCCACACACACAAGCATAAAGCTCCCCCCTCCTTTTTTTATTCCAGTACTCTATAGGTGTTTCTTTATAGCTGTAAAACATGAAACACAACATTCTCCAAAGAATTATAAATAAATATCACAGAAGAAAATCGGAGAGGTGCAAAGTGGGTATGACATAACTCTGTGTGTATGTGTGCATAAAAAAGGAATTCCAAAGGAAAACTAAGAGCTAATTATATAATAAGGATAATATATGATAGGACAAGAAGATGGGTTTATATGTGGTAAGGGATGATAGGTAGACAATCCAAATACTCCACTACAATGCTTACAGTCCTAGGAAGGAAGCAAGAAGGGCCTCTATCACATTGGGTGGGCCTTTGGGGCAAACTTTCAGGAAAACATGAATAACAGTTGTACAAGATGTGATATGCCTATTGGAGGGTATATCCAAATCAAGACAATCGTAGATCCTTTTGAATGTTTGAACTTGATAGAACAATTGAACAGTATGGAATACTTGCTAACACCAGTGAGCTCACTGACATAATATACACCAAAGTTGTCAAACTCATGGCCAAACCATTGAACCATATTAAAATTTAATTGGGAAATGTCTAACAAAATAAATAAAAATAAAATACAACATAAATAATATTATTTTGTGATTTTCTAAGTCAATATGTGGTCCTCAGGGATCCATTTCTATTCAAGATTGACACCACTTATGTAGACTATAACTGTCAGTTACAACTCCTAAAACATGTATTAGAAAATCAGTAAACACTATCTACAAATAATAATTTGG